AGGATTTAGAGACTGTATGTTGTTTCTTGCTCTTCCATGAAATAAGAGAATCTCCAAGAAAGATATAGAACCCAGTAACCGATCGTCTAGTGTCTTTGCAAGTGGCCCAATCAGCATCACAATAGGCCATTAATGTGAAAGATGAATTATCGTGAGCATAAAATAATCCTAAGGAAGATGACCCTTTCAAGTACCTCAGTATATGAAGAGCTACTTGCCAATGAGGATCATGTGGATCGTTAACAAACTGACTGAGTTGTTGAACCCCATAAGTGACATCAGGTCTGGTAAGCCCAAGATATAGCAGCCTCCCAATCAACCTTCTGTAGATATCAGGTTGTTCTAATGGACTTCCACTTTGTGAATCTAGGCGAATGCCAAAAGGTAAAGGAGTAGAGGCTGCTGTACAACTGAGCATGTTCAAATCACCAAGGATGTCTAATATGTACTTCCTTTGACACAGCAACACACCTCTGTCAGAGTAGTTCATCTCAATTCCAAGGAAAAACTTAGCAACTCCTAAGTCCTTGATTGCAAACTGCTTATCCAAGAAGAGCTTTAGTTGATGGATGAGAGAAGATGATGAACCAGTGACTAGAACATCATCTACATAAACTAGGAGAGCCAAGAAGTCAATATCCTTAGTCAATGTGAAAAGACAATGATCATATGAGAACTGAAGCAAACCAAATTGTGATAACTTCCTGCAGAGCTCAAGATTCCATTCTCTTGAAGCTTGATTGATCCCATATAGGCTCTTAATAAGCCTACAAACTTGTCCTGGTCTAGCCTTATCATACCCTTGAGGAGGATGCATAAAAACTTCCTCTGATAATGTTGCATGAAGGAAGGCATTGTTTACATCCAATTGATGTAAATCCCACCTTTTATGGACAACCATTGCTATGAGAAATCTCACTGTGACAAGTCTTGCTACTGGTGAGAAAATGTCAAAATAATTCACACCCTCTATCTGGTTATACCCTTTAGCAACCAACCGAGCCTTAAATCTTTCAACTGACCCATCAGCCTTTCTTTTTATTTTGAACACCCACTTGCAACCAATAGCTTTCTTTCCCTGTGGTAAATCAGTAAGTTCCCATGTGTGGTTACTTTCAAGTGCATCCAATTCTTTTTGCATGGCCTCTATCAAAGAAGGGTGCAAGACAGCTTGTTTATAGTGTGATGGTTCCTTTTCAGTGTAAACATTGGCAATGAACTCATTGTGGGGTAGAGGTTCAATTCTGGTGAACTGTGCTGAGTTATCTCTCAAAACATAGTCATTATGCCATTGAGGTGCACTTCTGTTTCTGTGACTTCTTCTCATTTGTGTGTCATTTGTCACCTCATTCTGAGTATGCTCTATTTCCAAGTGAGGAGCTTCAATCTTTTCAGGTTCTTCAACATGGTGTGGTAATACTGTGTCATCTGTGGACTGTGTGATAGAAGGAAACACATTTTCAAAGAACACCACATCTCTTGCTATGAAAACTTCACCATTGTCAACATCATACAGCTGATACCCTTTGTGGCCCACTGCACTCCCCAAGTGAACACACTTACTTCCTCTTGGTGCATATTTTGATTTCATGGATGAACTTTTGCAGCATAAGCTAGGCACCCAAAAGGTTTTAACCTTGTGTAGTCTGGCTGTTTGTTATAAACCTTTTCAAATGGTGTCTTCCAGTTCAAGACTGCACTAGGCAATCTATTGATAATGAAGGCTGCTGCTTGAACTGAATATGGCCAAAACTTCAGAGGTACCTTCTCTTGAAACATCAAGGCCCTTTTAATCTTAAGTAACTGTCTATGTTTCCTCTCTACTACACCATTTTGTTGTGGTGTGTAAGCACAACTTGTTTCATGGACTATCCCTTTTTGCTTAAAAAGGTTCTGCAGCTCCTTGCTTAAAAACTCTTGTCCATTGTCTGACTTTATTTTCTTAACAGTTGTCTCAAATTGTGTTTCTGTCATCAGCACAAACTCACTAAGAAACTTTGCAGCTTGTGACTTATGAGTCATAAGAAAAATCCACACTGCTCTACTAAAATCATCAACCACTGTTAGAAAGAATGGTGTAGCTGTAAGTGACTCATCTTTGCAGGGTCCCCAAATGTCCACATGAAACATCTCAAAACACCTTTTAGCATGTATGTGAGTATTCTGAAAAGGAAGTCTGTGTTGCTTTGCTTTAAACCATACCTCACATGATTGAACTGCTTTGCTCTCTGAATCTGTAAATTTTCCTTTGAGGAAAGAAAGATGCTGAATTGTGCTATAGCTAGCATGACCAAGACACTTGTGCCACATTGCTAAAGAGAAATTACATCCCAGAGAAGTTCCCTTGCACTTGGTCACATTGTCCTTCTTCAGACTATACAGATTTCCTTTTGATGTACCTTCACCTACTACTTTTCCACTATCACAATTCTCCAGCAGCAGTAGAGGAAAAAGAACACTTCACCTTTTCATCAAGACAAAGTTGGTTTACTGAGAGAAGATTGTACTTAAAACCTGGAACATACAAAACTCCTTTTAAGGTGAGAGTATTGGTTGCTGCAACTATTCCACCAGTATTTACCTTCTTATATGAGCCATCTGGTAAACACACTGAGATAGATTCTTTCAACATAAAAATAACCTTCATGACATTCAGGTTTCCGCACATATGTCTACTAGCCCCAGTGTCTATAATCCACTCACAAATGTTCACACTTTCTGCTATTGTTAGAGCAAAATGAACTCCATCCTCCTCCTTTTTGTTACTAAAGCCTGCCATCTGAGCATAATGAACCTTTCCATCCATGCTTTTTTTACCTTTGATGTACTGACTAATTTCCTGTAGCTGTTTTACCACCAATGACAACTCACTTTCTACTGAACCTTTCCTTTCAAGTCTTTGCTCTTCCCACTGTCCTCCATCTTCATAGGCTTCAACACTATCAGCATATGGTTTGGGTTGTTGAACCTTTAGCTCCTTGTACCATTCTGGTACTCCATGGATTTTGAAGCATGTGTCTATTGTGTGCCCATGCATCCCACATTTGTCACACAACAGGTTTGCCCTTTCTTCTTTGCTTAGTCTAAAACCACCTCTTCCCCTTCCACTTTGCCAATTACCACCTCTTCCACCATATCCTCTACCTTGTCATGTTTGTCCTCTACCATAATCTTCATATTTCACATTCATTGTCATATTTTCTATTTTGTCTAGGCTATTTGTCGTAGATCTTTGTCTTTCAGCTGAGAGCAACATTGAATATGCCTTGTTTACACTTGGCAATAGATCAGACAGCATTATCTGGTTCTTCAAATGCTCATAACTGTCATTTAATCCCATAAGAAATTGAATCAACTTATTTTCAGTTTCAAGTTGAGATGCCAACAGACCTTTGGGACAGTTGCAAGTATGATTAGGAACAACACAAACAAACTCATCCCATAGCTTTTTCAACCTGTTGAAGTATTCCATCACCGAGCTACTACCCTGTGTTAGAGTATTTATTTCTCTCTGTAGTTTATATCACATAGGACCATTACTCTCTCCATATCTTTGACAAATTTCATCCCAAAGCTCCTTCGATGTTTCAGCATATATTACAGATTCAGCAATTGACAGCGAGTTTAAGATCCATGACAAAACAGTCCAATCGACCTTTTTCCATTCATCATACTCATCACTATCAACATTAGGTTGAGCTATTTCACCATTAATGAAACCTAACTTTCTCTTAGCACCCAGGGCTATAGTCATCGATCTTCTCCATGAAAGAAAATTCTTACCAATAAGCTGGTGTGAAACCAGCACCATTCCAGTATGATCTGATCCATGTAGGAAAAACGGATCGTTGCTCGAAGATGTTGTCTGTCGTATGTCAGAACCACCACCAACGTTAAATGCACCTTCACATCTGGTCGCCATTGATATTCAGAAGCAGATCAAGCTCAAAATCGCCTTGAAGTTCGCAGAATCGAATGCTCTGGATATCATGTAAAATCCAAACAACTATGGAGAGGATATTTTTGGGGTTTTCTCAACACATTTCATCCAACATCAAAAATCAGAAATGAAAATACGTACAGAGGGCTATTTATCCATGCAAGACGACAAACAAAGAAGATGACTCAAAACGGCGTCGTTCCCACTAAGTAAAACGACGCCGTATACAACCAACAGCAAAAACAAAAAAACAATACCGTTTATGACAAAAGAATAAAACTAAAACATAGCATAAAAGAACAGAAAAACGACACCATTTATGACAAAAGAATAAAACTAAAACATAGCATAAAAGAACATAAAAACGTGCCCCAACTTTGAACATCCTCATGCACACCAACATGCATCACTTCAATTCCAACAATTAAGGTAAATTAATTAAGAATATAATATCTTGTCATCTGTAACTGATATTTTGTTTTTCTTTTCATTAATCATTAGGCATGAGTTGCGGATTTTAAGGGGTGGACGTTTCTTGTTTGGAATATAATTATTTGAAGAAATGAGTATTGATGCAATTTTTTTTTTCTTTTTCACTCGTAAAAGTGCAATTAATTCCAATTAGGATAAAATGTATGTAAATGATCCTAATTTTATTTATTAAATTTTTGTGCTTTGTAATCCAACGTGTTTCAATACAGTCCATGTTGATTAAACATTTACCTGTACCTATTATGTTTTTAATTTTTTTTTAAAAAAATATATTTGATTAGCTTAAGTTTATTTCAAAATTTAATGAATTTATTTATTATTAGTTTTATATATAATATTTTAAATTAATTATTATTATTATTTTTTTATTATTTTTTTTTTAATGAGTGAGCGTTATGTGTGTCCGTTGTTTTTCCAAACAATAATATAAATTTGATTCTTATGATGCAATTCGTAGTGAGCTCTCCCACCGGTAGATTGATACAGCAAGGACACGTGGCGACATAACATGAATACATGTGGTGACACAAAGAAAACAAGATAGAAATTGAAAACCTCACTCCGGTGTATAGAAAGGGGAAAGAGAGAAGGGAAAACAATACACACCCAAAAATGGAGGGAACTGAACGACCGGCGGCGGTAGCGGCGGTGGAGACCGACACGTGGCTTAGGAAGCACCGCCTTATCTACCTAGGAGCAACCAGACATCCTTTCACTCTAAGCATTCGCGACGGTACCGTTGACCCATCTTCCTTCAAGCGCTGGCTGGTAAGAGAACAAATTTCTCCCCTTTTCCATTTCGAGATTTAATTTTGTTGTTTAATGGCTTCATAGTTAATAAATTGTTCTGTGTTTGCATACTTTGGAGATGCTCAGTTGTCTTTTTTGCCTTGTGTTTTTCCCTCTTTATTACCAGCTTCGATTTATTGGGCTTTGCTTAGTTGTAACAATTTAGGTTTTAGCTAAATTTAATTGCTTCTTTTTCCTTAATTTCTATGTTCTTGGTGGATAGATAACTGGCTGTTATTGTTTTGTTTGTAATTGATGATTTATGATATTGGATTATGGAAATCAGAGTAAGATTTCATTTTTTTTTAAAATTTTTTGGTATTTCAAGATTTAATTTTTTCTCTCCTCGTATTACTTTGTTCTGATTTATCTTTTTGATTGTGTTCCAGCTTGACCTCGCAAAGTATTGACTTTACATTCTTGAGAATGCCCATTTTGTTATCTATTGGAATTAAATTAATTTCTTGCTCTAATTCAATCCTTTAATTTGAAACAAAAAAGAGTTACTCATATGCAGTTTTGAAAATGAAGGTTTAGTGATATAATGAGAAATGATTGTACAAAACTTGTTGAGTTAGTCCGTTTCCCAAATACATTTTAAATACGAGCCTATTTCTTTTCACTCGGATGTCTGTAATCCCGTGTTGGGTGTTCGGGTAAAGTTTTGTGCTTTACACACATCACCCATATTTCGCATAAAAAAAAAATCAGTAAGGAAAATATACTTTTCTGCTAGTTTTATGTATATATTGCACATTGGACATCTGATAAATTACTAGTCTTTTTTTTAATTAAAATGCAGGGACAAGATTACATATTTGTCCGAGCATTCATCCCGTTTGTTGCAAGTGTATTACTGAAAGCTTGGAAGGAATCAGATGACAAAGCAGATATTGATCTGATTCTGGGTGGGATGGCTGCTTTGAACGAAGAAATTTCATGGTTCAAAACGGAAGCTTCCAAGTGGAGCATTGCTTTGGAAAGTGTCGTGCCTCAACAGGTTAATCTCGATTACTGCAGGTATACTTCAATTCAATCTCTATTCGTATTTCTTGCTGCAATATAAGTATACAACTCAATATTTGCGTGAAAATCTTGTAGAGGGTTATATTTCAATATATTAAAAAATAATAAAAATAGGTTAGTGATAATTTTATTGCTTTATAAAATACAAATACCGAAGAAAGCCGTAGTTTGTTTTACTTCATCATAGCAAAAGGACCAAGTAATATTTCAAGATTACAAATATTCTCCTCATATTTGCTGCTTTATTGTAAGGGTT